CATCTTCGGCTTCGCCCTGGGTTTCACAAGCCCAGCATCCAGAAAGCAAGGCATTACACACACATATATACATATATACACAAGTGTGTGTACATACATACATACATACATGCATGCATGCATACATACATACATACACACACATATGCATATATATATATATATATATATCTGCATATAGATATATTAGCAAATTTCAGCAGCTGGTAGCTCTGACGAATTTTCATTCTCAACGTCGGTCTTGGAGGCTTGGCCTTGATAGGTTGGTCTCAGACGCATAAAAGAATGTAGCGGAGCGGCTTGGCGTGCCCCTGTAGAAAAGAGCCGTTTCATGAACAGTTTCTGCACGTGTGTGTGTGTGTGATGTCACACCGAGGGTGCTCCGAAAGTGGCTTCCAACCTGCAGCCAAGTTCTCGTTAGCACAGTGCAGGTTAGCTTCTCTTGAGGATCACCGAAGTTCACGGGCTGCACAGACATAAAAGCATGATTGCCCAAAAACTCGCTACCGCCCTGCTGGAGCTTTCGAGTAGCATGTTGCTCTTTGCAATTGTGTTGGCGACTGCAGTCGCACCAACCCAAAACGGACGCTCAATCTCAAAATCTACAAAGAAACAGCTTTTCGGATTGCTGCTGTGCAGAGCTAGCTGCATGTGCACTAAAGGCAATTGCCACCATGCAGGACACGGTGAGACTTCCAGCTGCACTATGACAACCTAGTATTCCCAGTATACTCCTAGTAGGTATGTTGACAGCTACATTGACATAAGAACCCCAGACTCGCCATTCTCGGGGCTTCCAGGGCAGGGCTTTGGTCCTCGGAGCTATGCAAGAGATGAAGGCTACTCTATAGTCTTCCCCTGTACATCGAAACCGAAAAGAGTAAATTTGTCTGTACTTTTTTCAACAGTCGGGGAAAAGGGGACATGACTCAGTTGCCTGCCGGTTCTAGCATGTGAGCTCAGACTGGAAACATGTTTAACCTGAGGAGGTTTTGAGCCACATAATAAACCCGCGGTGCAAAAGCACACAGAAAGTCAAGAGTTCGTAGGCATTCTGGGAAGGCATATTCTTGACTTGGTAACTTGTTCTTCTCAGAATGCTGCGACTTCTCCGGGCCTGGCAAAGTGTATGCGGTGAACAGGGCGAGCTTTGCATTGCGAGGTTGGATTGTTCATGACCGGCCTGTTGACCCGACGCTGTCCGAACTTCCCTCCAAGCCTATATAGCGTCCGGATGCCATAAATCCGAGGACAAGGTGGTGAATGGATACCGGCGCCATCTGATCTTGTTGTCTTCCACACGTCAGACCACAAGACATCAGCGCAAGGCATGTCCAGACTAGCGGCTTCTGGCTTCGGTGTGTCATCCATGGGGTAGGCCTCCCACGTTGCAGTCCTCGAGTGCAAATAAAGCGGCGGTTCGGAATTCTGTGGGCAGGAGCAACAGCAGGTGTAGAGCCCCAGAGTGGCATAACTATAGCACACGAAGGCGACATGCCATGCCTGAAGGTGTTTTCTATTTTGTGCACTGTCCATCTATACGTACATACAGACATACATTAATACATACATGCAAACGCACGTACATACACACATGCGCGCACGCACGCACACGCACGCACACACACACACACACACACACACACACACACACACACACACACACACACACACACACACACACACACACACACACACACACACACACGCAGCCACATGCACACACGTGCGCACATATGCATGTACGCACGACATACAAACATATATCATAGATGCATGCATACATATGTGTATATATATATATATGTATTTGCACATATGCACATGATTATGTGACCGCGCAGGTCTTGTCAGCATAGGCGCCTCTGCAACGAAAGTGCCATCATTGAATGTGATGTACCTCTGCCGGGTGTTGCTATGTCAATCTCTTTTCCTCTCACCCTATTTAATGCCCTATTTATTGACTTCTCCTGCTCTCTCCCCCTTCCCTCCCTCGATAGTTTTCACTCTTCTGGTTCAAAGATATATACATGGGTATGTGTACAAACATCTATGCACATGAATGTGTGTAGGTATTGCTGTTGAGGAAGAACGAACGAATGAATGATTGGTTGGAACCGAGTGGATGAATCAATGACTGCAGGAAGCAAGGAAGGAAGGAAGATAACGTAATGGAGCAGACTGGCATGGACAAAGGCAAGAATGGAGGGATGGATGCATGAACCGATGCCTGGATGAATGGATGAACGGATGCATGGATAACCGAATGTGTGCACAGATACATGGACGAACAGAGGAACTTACAGGCAAAAGACATGGCATGCAACAAACTAAAATCGAACAGGAAACCAGATGACAGGACATGAAGATATGCGCATTTCAGGGTTTGCTTCAGGCTGACAGGCTCGATTTGCATGAGGATGGGATCCCCTAAAAGCCGTGCTTGAGCCTGTTGGGTCGGGGATTCCAGCTCTGGGTGTCCTTACTAAAAGGATCATGGGACTTAGTAGCTGGGGTTATAATTAGGGTAACTATACTTATAACCCCAATTAAGGTACTTGTAACGTTACTTACTAAGTCCCATGATCAAGTAGAAGTAGGAGTTGCCGTTAAGCGAGTGTGCTTTCCCACGCCCCCATGTCTACTGCAGTGCAAGATACCCTGAAGCCTGGAAATCGTTCTCGAAAGTGTGCTAAGTCTTGTGCACCCCAGTGAGGAAGGCAGAAGTAGCTCAGCGCGAGACTCGAAGCCTTGACGGCCTTGGCTTGTCCGGGAAGTAAGCCCTACAGTGTGATAGCCTAAAAAGGCTTGTCTAGTTGTGAGTGCTGAAAGAGGCTCCCTGTTCAGCTCCATCATTAACATTGGCGCCCTGGTTGGCGCACTCTGCGGCGGTAGCACGGCCGGCTTACGTCGTAGCCTTCTATTCATGTTCATTTCAGGCGAAGGGACGGGCCGTGTCTTGGACTGGGAGCAATTTCGGATGCTTCCTACCCGGTTGATGTCTTCTTGCGGCTTGTGTTTGGACCGTTGTCCTTCGAGCATTGATGGTCGAGAAGCTAGGTCTTAATGCTAGGCCTTAGAATGCAATTTAAAGGCCACTTCAGTACGGGAGTCTTCAGTTGGGATGGGCGTTCGGCGTTATTAAGTTTGAACCGCCGAACAAACAGCCATGACCCTTGTTCGATGGCTTTGATCAGAGACTTGCATCCCGAGCATCTACGGCCTGACTTGTAGTACATCCTGCACACTGACCAGCTGGGATGCATGCTTCTATGAGGGCATAGAATCGGATTCTTTAAAAGTTTCGGAATTCATAGGGCCTACGTAGGGCGACAAGCTGCGAGCTTCGATCTTATGACTTCGTAGAAAGTCAGCGCAGAAAATCCCGCCCGGGACCGTGAGTTTCTTGCGAGTTGCATGCGAAAACACACGGATGACTTTCGACACTGTCTTGCAATGAGGTCCGCTGAGCCAGCTCCTGCCTCAGTTCGACATCTTAAGAATCAAGGAAGAAACCCGTACACTCCAGATGCTGAGGGTGACAGGAATGAGGACATGATGCATGACTCGATTGACCGATCGTTTGAGCAATCCACGCGGAGAAGCCACTGGGACATTTAGGAGCTTATCGCCGTCGTTCCACCAATGTTTGTTCATGAGAAAGATGCATTCATGTACAGGCAGATTGGCCGAAAGGGTGCGATGCTGTTCATGGCACCCTTGTTCGCCGGGCGCTTACGCTTGAAGGGTCGCAGCGCTCCAGTCTACCCCGTGGTGAGGGACTGGTCTAGAGTCTAGATGTTCCCTGGAACTTCCAAGAGATCTTCTGCTTCTTCTTGAACGTGTCCAGAAAAGGGGGCATAGTTTAACAATTTAAAGCGAGTTCATGAGGGTCCATGCAGCAATCACGGTGTCATACTGACATGACGTCGGTGACGGCCGGCTCCTTTTAATGAGGCTTTGACTTGGTACGTGACGTCCATCGGCAACGGCTTTGACGTTTTGCTGCTTGGGCATGAATTCTTAAGGGTAGGATTCGTGCTGATGCTGGAAAGACATGCATGGCTGACGGGGTTGAGGGTTTGGTAGCCCTGCAGTTTGTTGTTTGGATGCCACCATATTCCGGCTGGCCGAGGATCGTCGCGCGCCTTTTCCTCGGAATTGGCATCGGTGCCCCGAGCTTGTCTTGCCAAGAGATCCAACGTGAGCAGTGTTACAAGTGCTCTGAGAAGGCTTGAGCTTGGGCTTGGCACTAGCAGCCACTTACGCAGATGTGGAGCTGTAATCTCAAGATGAGCACAGAAAGCGGCTTGCAGCAGGTCTGAGTAGCTCTGCACCTCGGCAAGAGGAAAGGAGGATATTTTCAGGATCGGTGCTCCAGCTTGAGGATTTCATTCGGGACTGGCAAGGCAAGAAGGAAGCAGTGCTATCAAGACCATGATATTTTTGCCGCAGCGTGTCTTCCTGGCTTTGTTGTTGGGTTACAGGGCCTCGAGCTGGAGAGACTTCAGGAATCCTTGCTGAAATCGATGGGTGCTGATATAGTCCGAGTATCCCTTCCTTGGGTTCATGGTGCCCAACTTCTACGAGGCCATGATTGCTGAACCTGGGCCCTGGCCGCGCTTGAAACTCCAGCCCAAGGTTATTCCTACCTACATCAACGAGGTGTCGCCCACACACCTGCGGGGAGCCTTTGGTGCCATTTTCCAGCAGCTCGGTTCCGGAAGATGCATCAAAGCAAAAAATCTACAAGGTGCTGCAAGGATGAAGGGTTACTGTACTCAGGCAGTAGGGCTTGCATTCTCTTGCTGTCTCCGGGGTCCAGTGCAGGAAGCAACGCGCTGCCGGGCACGGTGCTGTGGTTTAGGTGTCAAGTGGCCCCTGACGAAAGGATGCCGAAAACACGTGTGTCGTGCCTCTCGATTCGGCGGCTGATGCTTCATTTTGACGCAGTGCTGACTGTGTGCATTGTCAAGAACAAATGGCTGCTTGGAGTCAGGATGGCCTGCGTAGTCGGCATTATGGTGTGCTACCTGCTCGGAGAAGTGCCTCCAAGCTGCATTGGCCGTGAGACCTCTTGCCAGAGAAAGCACCGTGTACTAGGCGTCCATTTAGAACAACTACGGAACCATATCCGTCTGTCACAGGCTGCGGTTGGCGCTGCCAATACAGCAAGTATTTGCAAATGTAGCTACCTACTTCCAGTTCCTTTGCAGACTAGACCTTGCAGGGGGCCTTGGCTTGATGCCGCATAGCACACGAGCGTAGCCTGTCATAGTGCGTGGCCGCAGTTTAGCAGTATAGTGGCTGGAGCAGGGGCAGACCGGCAGTGGAATTTCAATTGCAAAGGGACTTGTCAGGGAATACAGGTGTTGCACAGTTCATCCACTTCATGCTCAAAGCCGTCCTCGACTCTTTACCACCATGCCTGTTGGCCCAGGCAAAAGACCCGCCCAACCTTTGCAAGATGCTTGCTCCCCTTGAACCATGTATGTATGTGGAGCTTATCTCCCGGAACCTGGCAACGTACACTCTGTCACTGCATGTCGGCAGAGTCCTGGGTATAGCCCCTTGTCATAGCTACTCCTCAAGAAGCTCCCTGCTTGCAGACTTGCGGAGGATAGAGGTAAAGAGCGGCGGCCACAGCTTCTGCCAGTGGCGATATCTAGTGGCTGGGACATTGCAAGAGTAGGCAGGGTCTAGCCGTGGTTCGAAAGCCGCAGCACCACCACTTGCACCTGCACCTTGCGTGCAGTGCTCATTTGCACGACATTGTCAGCTCTATCTGATTGTATGAGGCAAAACTCCATGCGGCATGTGCAAGTCTACCTACATTTGTATGTGTGTATGTATGTATGTATGTATGTATGTATGTGTGTGTATGTGTATATATATATGTGTATATATATATATATTCACATACCTGTGGGTGCATGTTACATACGTACACAGCGTATGTGCATATACATCTGTATATTTATATACACATATGTATACATACATATACACACATAGACAGCATAAACAAATGAATATGTAACAAAGCATATATATATATGTATATACATATATATATATATATATACGCAGACAGAGCGACACACGCGCATACATCCACATACACACATCTACACACTGCACATCACGTGTGTAAAACCCTTTCACGTGTTGATAGACTTTCTTGCCCTTTGTTGCTCACGCTTGGGTCCCTTGTTTTTCGTTGTTTCTCTCTCTCGCTCTCTCTCTCTCTCTCTCTCTCTCTCTCTCTCTCTCTCTCTCTCTCTCTCTTTCTCTTTAATCCTTTTGATACACGTGCGCTCGCATAGGCTTGTCGTTCTCCGGACAAGAGGCCTGAAAGCCGAGAGCCAGGGTTGTAGAGTTGCGAGGTGTCGAGGGGCTCAAGCCTAGTAAGCTTGAGTCCTGCGACAGCACCGACTCAGAGAGATGATGAGTGTTTGAAAAGCGCACCGTCACCATCATCGTCACCGTCATCATCATCATCGTCATCATCATCATTGGCTCAGTTTTTGTGACTCCCTGTTGCTGATCTGTTTCTCGCCGACTAGCACGAAAACCCTAAGCAACCTGTGCGCAGCAAATCTACTTCCTTACCCAGGGCTCCCGAACATTAAGATGCAAGACCCTGGGGAACTGATTACAATTTCTGGAATGAAGTAACTAGATACAACATCTGTCCAGGTCGAAAGACCTTCGGAGACGGCCCAGGGCTTCGTGTTTGGGGGTGTAGGGGTGCGAATCAGGGTTTGGAAGGTCTCACGCCCCCGACTAGTGACTCCGCGTCTACAAGCAGATGCGCGAAAGCAGCCAGCCGTAATGTCCAAAGGGTGGTTGCTGAGACTCGGACTACATATGTTAATGCCCAGTAAGTCTTTGACCATCGTGCCATAGTCTTGAAACCCTTCCTCGAGACCTCCAACCTGACGCAGCAGAAAGGCACTTGTACCCCTGCTGCTAGCGGCCATGCTCTTCCTTCTGGCGCTGCCGATCCCGGAGTCTCCGCGGTATTTGGTGACCTGGTCCTGGATGTTTACAAATTTAGGATGGCATTTCCGGAGTCTCGGTGTATGGCTGGGGATGACGAGTAGCTTCAGGATGAAAGGGTTCGGGATCTGAAGATTGGGCCCTTGACCAAGCGACACTCGATGGGGTTGTACTCCAATACCCTTTCGGAGGGTGCCCGATATATTGTATAATTTTATATGTATAATGCATATATATATATACAGTTACATATACTTTTGTATATAGACAGATCTCGACATACGATATATCGCGTCGTGGCATATTGGTTGCTTTTGCCTCCGCAGGCAGCTCGCGGAAAGGCAGATGCCGCCCGACTCGCGCAACTTGGAGGCAGCAGTTCATCTTAGGTTCCGCGAAGGCTTTGCAGCAGGTACTTGGCCACATCCCGATCTAGAAGCCGCGTTCTGACATGAAGACACGACTTTTTGCACATCTTGCATCTCTGCCACATAAATCCCGATATGGAGTCGCCTGGCTCTTTTCCGAGTCTTTGGGCTTTCCGCCAGCAGGGTCATGCCTGCTCTGGTTCGCAGGCATAGACACGTAGGCCTTAGCCTGAACCATCCGAGAGCTTGCCCAATCAGACTCCGCTTCCAAAAAAGTAGGGCGAAGTACAACCTACCTGAGCGCGCAGTTGTAGTCGTTCTAGAAGTGCTTAAGTATGACACTTGCAAGCTCCCAGGGAATGAAGCGGCTAGGGCATGCTATGCCACAAGCACACGGGAATCATCAGGGATATAACTGTTCGTGCTTCTCCTGAGGGTCTACTCAACAACTCATTCGTCCGCTCTTGGTGTGTATCTTTTGGAACACAAACGGTTCTCGACGCGCTCCTATCTTCTAGCTCAAGCACGAATCACTGTTGTTCCTGCTGTTGTCATCCTCCTTCTCAACTTGGTGTGGTATACCAGCTCCGAGCGATGCCGATTCACAGCCTAAGGCTGGCAAAACTCCGTGGGGGTGCCCAATACATTGGATCTGAGCTTGAGGAGTGAAAGCATCGAGCAGATCTTTAGCGTCAGCGCTTTGAGACGCATCTCCTGAGCTCAGAACTGGAAGACTTCGCCCAGTGCTTCTTTCAACATGGAGAAAGTTTGGTCGAAGTTCAGCCTGACGTGAAGCCACACATTCCACTGCGACTTTGAGTTGGGGCTTCGTCGTAGGGTTTTTCCATGTCTTGTTGTGTTTTCAGACTCCGTCCCTCCGAAATTTGCCTTTACGGCAACGTGAAATCTGTGTGCTTTGCTCGGCTCCCACCAGGAGATCCACGACACAATCCAGCAGAGCTCCACGGCCAGTTGGGAGATGTCAACGGTACAGGGTCGAGAAACGAGCCGTATGTCTCCTTCGGCCAAAGCTATTGGACTGGTTTAAGTCCAGAAGGCAGGCGAATGCTGTGGGTTTTGGATTATTGGGATTGGGGAGGAAGTAAGGGTCGCGACGGTGTTTGGGGCCCCTGCCCCTACACAGCGGCAGTGACACTCCGAATTCTGATATCTACCACCCTATATTAGTAAATGTTGTACTTCGTGGTCATTGTTCTCACCTTTCTTACGTATACAATACGAACCAACTATCTCGCCAACTCGTTTGTTGGATGCTCCGTGCTGGGCAAGGCTCGGAATCGAGCGGCGGATTGGCAGACTTGTGGCAGGAGCCACTCAAAATTACCTCTCGGGTTTCAGGCGGCACTATTGGTTTCACCACGCCCGCATCTTGCCGGTGTTCTCCTTGCGATTGGTAATCCGTTGTCCTTCCCCTTACAGCTGCCGTGGCCCTGTTGAGCTCCAATTACCATCAATGATCCTGTTGGTGTGCAGCAAGTCCTTCAGGAGATGCCCAGATACTCGTAGACCCTTCGTTCCTCCAAAAGGCGGGCTTGGAACCCCCGTTGCATACACAATTAGCCGACGCGATGCGGGGAGCCGTGCTAGAAGCGTTGCATGAATGCCAAGGTCCAAGATGTACTCACAATCCGATGCCAGCAACCCGAACCCTGGGTTTCGCACACAATGAAGTTTGAGTATTTCGGGCAAAAGCCACAGGAGAAGCTGGCCTTTGGCATTGGACTCATGCCAGGGAGCCCAAGACACAGAGAAGGGCTCAGAGTTTTCAAATATTTTCGGTTGAATGGCTGCTTCATCAGTTCCAGTGAGGTCGGGATTTGGAAGCAAGTCTTACCTGGAAGCTTTCGACAGGAAGGGTCACACGCCTCGGATTCCGAAGGCAGCCCCAGATCCAGAGGCTCACGGCCCTATGTGCTGTAACCTGCTAAGCTGCCACAGCCTGCATAAGCCAAGCTCCGCGACCCAAAAGCCTCCTGGGCTGGACTTGGAGATAAGGTTGATGTTCATCCAGCAGTTCAGCGGCGTCAATGCCCGGCACTTGGGGGGCTTGGGTACCGGGTTACCGTTGGCAGGGTGGAGGGTCCTATGTGTTGGCTGCTGTGTTTGTCCTATACTTGCTAGAGGGAGTTGTTGCTCCGAGCCTCTTCGCAAAGTCTGCTTTACTTACATTGTGAAGGGAAGGTTTGCGAAGTCCTACATCTCAACATCCAATAGGTAGGCTCGCAGTTGCCCAGCCACGCGCTCTTCGCCTAAACTCTAAACTCTGCATACCAACACATGTGGCGGGAGGATAAGAGGTGTTCAAACAAAAACAAGATGTGAGAAGCCGAAAGCTGCGACACCACACCTTCCACCTCAAGGCCGTCATCTTCTTCCAAAACACCATCTTTATGGATGCCGGCTCTTCGGCGGGAGCAGTGAGATACCTTCACCTTAGTTGCAGAAATCCTCTGGTAGAAGTTCGGGAAAGCCTAAGCTTGATCTTACCCGATAGGGTTGGAGGTCTATAGGATTCAAGAACGTTCAGGGGCCACTGGGTCGTGATTAGATTGTGGATAGGCTGTGGAATCCCAACACATATTTCATGCATTCACTCTGCAGTGTACAAGGTTGCTGACGGTGCGTTTGCTCCCGTGGCCCATGTGTTGAGCACAGAGCTGTGTTCATGTAAGCGACGACAGGTATACATCTAACCTATACATAACTGCTACGAGCTTCGATGGCAAAATCTTGTGCAGGAGGCCTTTCGTGAGGGTTGCTAAAGATTTGCCTTGATATGGGCTGCTTGGACGACTTGATGTCCGCGCTCAGTATAACGCCGTGAAGTTCGATGGATTCCGACAACAACCTCCAGACCGTACAGAAAGCCACAACAATTAGCTTTCAAGTATTGCTCAAACGCTTGGGCCACTTGGGATCAAGACATAGCTGGGCTTTGTACATCAGAACCCTTACAGCTTCAAGTGTCGCCTGCAGGTCCGGGTCGTAACGTCAAAGGTCCACGGAAGCATCGTGCAGTGACTATGCACGAAAGTCGCAGACGAAGTGAATACATCTGGGTATCTTAGGAAGCACATGTTGCCCGTGAGGGCGATGACCATGAGCTAACCAGACGTGCAGATGCTCATGCCCAGGTTTCGAAAATGCAGCAAGCCTCGGGTTCTTGGTGATGCTGGTCCAGGTCGGGTCGGTTGCTAATCAGGTGTGCGAACAGCCGAAGTGTTGTACAGCTGTTGCTGTCGGCGTTGTCAGCTTCAAGCTCCTGCTCTTCCAGATTTCCTGTCCACCTGAACTTCCGATGCACGCTGTTACCCAAACATTGACTTTGAAGTAGACCAAGATGGAGTCGGAGCGGCATGCAGCGACCAAACAGGGCTTCATTGTGTATCCGCAATAGCTGAGTGCAGCCTTGCTAAAGTTATAGTTCATCCTCTGAGGGATGACAAAACATCAACCAGAGCTACTTCCTGTGCGCAGGTCATCATGACAGGGGTGTCCATCCCTTTGATGGACACGGCAGGGCGCAAGGTCTTGCTGCTCATAGCCACATGGCACCAGACTGCGGACTGTTTCGGTCGGGTTCTGTTCCAGAGGCACCCGCAGTCCGCTGAACATGTTCTTGCGAAGGGGCACGCGTTGAAGCAACGGCCGAAAGATACCCGAATTGCTCTGCAGGCTCGATCTTTCCGTATCTAGAAGGAGGGAGAAGGTTCGGCGGCTGAACTAATAGCTTCCGCTTGGGAGATGCAGGGCTGAAAGCAGGGAGCGTGTGGATGTCTGCGGATGCCCAGACGTTCCCTGGAGCCCGTGGCGTGTCACGCCACAGGGTCTACATATAGTTACTAGTTATTGAAATTCGAAGGGCCAGCGAAACTCTATGGAGTGATTAGATTACTGTCGAACGATGTCGATTGCAATCCATCAGGCATGCTGCGGCATGACAGTTTGCTGCGCGGGCATGGTGGTCTTCTTTGCCTTTAGCACCCAGTCGGCATTTTCTTACAGACCAGCATCCAAGCAGGCCAAACCCAATCGCAAGCATTCGAGCTGACGTGCAGCACAAGAGAGATCATATGATCGTGGAAGCCAATAGGAAGTTTGCTTTGTTTTGTTTATCAAGCGGATCGTGCAACCTGACCTGTAGAAGTAGAGGTATCCTGCATGCTGTTGGATGATGACGGGGGCGGTTTGACTCCCTGCAGAGCCGTGGGTAGAGTCTTCCGTCAAGGTGCCGGATGTGTCATAACCTGCCGCCACTTAGCGCCACACCTACCAGGAGTTTCCGAGAAAGCAGGATCGGAGAGTTATCGACCAGCAACTTCGCAGTTTCTCAGCGGTGAAGACCAACAAAGCAGCACACTCGCCAAGAGAGGCTGTTTTTACTTCACCACGCACAAAGCTAGAGACCGATGCGCATGCATCCGCGTCCCTCCAGGGCTGGGATGCGCAAGACAGTTTTGCCACATGCCACAGACTACGACAAAGAGCGCACTAGTTCCTTCCATCACGGACATGGCGAACTATTCATGTCTGGGGGCAGGTGATTGAGGGCTGCTACACAAGCCTTCCGTTTGAAGCAGCCAGATGCCCAATGAAGAACATCCACAACTACATCCAAATCCCCTATATAAGCCCCGACTTCTTGAATCAATGCCTGCCTGTGAGCGAGTTTGCGAGTCGAAACCATGCCCAAGATGTACAGGGAGTCGGACATTCGTCGCCTGAATCCTTGCCTGACTTGAGTGTGAGACATGCCAAACTCGAAAACTTCATCAGAAGTCTGTAAGCAAGCCCTCTATGTGCCCAAAAGCAGTTGTCAATCAAGCTTGCACTGAGAGCTAGTCTCGAGTGAATAAAGTATAAGATGCGATATGTGATATGCAGCAAAAAAACCTTCGTTTGATCATTCATCTCTGGTGCGCGACCGCGCGAAGCAAGGCGGACCTTCCTGGCTGGCACTCGTGTGCCTCGTCTGTTCTACGAAGGATGTGCCTTAATACAGGGTGCCTCATTCTAGGTTATCGGGTTTAGGGTTTAGGGTCCCTCATGAACAAGCTTGAGGGCGGACCCGGTAGAGGCGCTGCAGACCGGATGCAAAAAGGGTCCCTCATTCTAGGTTCTGCTGCGAAGACTAAGAGGGCTCCGTAAGGACTTTGGTGGGGATATCCGCGAAGGGCTGTGTGTTTTAGGTGGAAGGCAGGCAGGAGAGGCTCACCACTCCAACTCCCCCGTCTGCAAGTCCCACACTCCACCACTGTCCCGGAACTTTCCCGCTGAGAGGTCTTCCTTTCTCTACATCGCCTTCTTCTCTCTGGGTCTGGGTCCCATCCCGTGGCTCATGATGGGCGAGATCTTCCCTGGCAAGCACCCGGGCGGCAGATTGCAAGGGCAACGACCAAGATGAGTAGCATGCAGGGAGGAATGACAAGAGGGATCGATAGAATGGAAATTTGAATGACAGGCTATGAGAATCCTACTGGTGTTGCTTGGGAGAACTGCCCATCGTGATGCGATGGGCCAGGCTAGTATGCTCAGGGTCTAGCTGCTTGCATGGCGAGAAGGAGTGAGTAAGTGACTGATTGGGTGTGAGAGAGAGGGAGGGATACGGAGACGGCAGAGGGAGAGAGCGAGATACCATCCAGGCAAAAGCAGGATGTGCCCAGAATCCGCCAGTGCACTTCGCAGGCTTTTGTTGGTGTTGCATGTATTCAGCAGTGGCAGCAGCCAGTGTGCTTGCTTGCTCCTCGGCTATGTCCGAAGTTGTGCCACATGACGAGTAATCATATTATACTTCGGATGTGCAGATGTGCCGAAATAGTAGTCAGTAGTATTGTAGTTCGTAGTATCCGAGGATCCGGTCATCGGCCTCTTCATTCGCGGCAGCATTCAACTGGATCCTTGGGTTTCATGGGGGGGGGTGGTGTTTGGCACCGTTTCCTCTCATTAGTCTCAGTTCGGTACTTTCTGCGTCTTACGTGAGCAGATTCTGACATGTGCGTTGGAGCCCTCAGTCTTAAGGAAGCTCTAAACTGCAGGTCTGTGCAGCACGCACAAAAGGGCAGCTTCCAAATCATTGTGGACAGGTTCGCCGAATAATTGTGTGACCTTCGGATTGTCAAGAGGGCCGCGAGATACGCGAACTTCTGGTGGAACCCGGTGTTTCCTGACACCAGCAGGTCTGCGCATCAAAGCAAACCCGACCACCCGTGCCCGAGCAAAGTATTTCAATCAAAGTCGAGACAAGCTTTGCCACAGCAGTCTTCCGACTGAGGACCTGCTCCTTTTTGACGACAGTGGCCCGACGTGTGCTAGTCTGTCATTCTCTGGTTTGGAGAGGGCCTCGCTCATGCCAGTGGCGGTGCAGTCTACATTCCATCGCTGTTCTCAGCATGTTGTTTCAGTGCACTGCTTGGGAAACGAGGCGTCTCAAACCTAACGTGCTCCTACGCCACGCCCTTTCCTTTGCTTATAGGGCACGTTCTCCCAGTTGAGGAGACGATCTCTGGGCTGCAATCACTGATTGGCTTTGGTGGCGTCTTCGGTCGGGATCTCAGAACATTCTCACGTCATGAGCCTGCACGGTTGATCATAAATAAATATGAAAGTACAGTAATTGTTTTTTGGGCTTCGTACGATCGGGAATGGTAAGAGTCTGCAAGACAAGCACTTGCGAATGTTACCGGTAGTCCCCTTGTTGTCAACATTGTGGTTTTCATGACTTACATACTCATGTGTGCAAGCCGTCGGTTTTTCAAGTCGATGTCCCTGCCCTGTACAAAGACTTCGTGGAGAATGCTACTTTAAGTTCATGGTAGCCGGGTAGGCTAGACATTGATTCTTAACTTAAGAACTGGGCTAGGCGTCCCACCTTCAAGCCCGAACCTGACCCCAGCTCCCACGTTGTAGCCCAAGTTCCCAAATTTACCCAACCACGCACGTGAAGGTGTCTATGGTGTGGTGCTCGTCTTTGGCGCCGTTTTCGTGGCGACCTTCGTGCCAGAGACAAAGGCTGGCTTCCTGCTGCGCCAAGAGCAAGAGGACGTGCGAGATTCGTGTTGTGATTTTGGCGGCGGTTGTAGCCTATTACTCTCATGGTCCCTTGCCTAGTCGCTCTCCCGATTCCTCCCTCTCTCTCATAGGTTGCCCAAGCCTACCCCTGGACCCTACCCCGCAATCTTGACTAAATGCCTATTAAATGAGCTTTATATGGCGGCCCACCATCTACCTTGGTGCCGTGAAGCTGCCCACTGTGAGTTGTGGGGGTGGGGCGCGGCGCGGGGCAGGGCGGGGCGGGTGGGGTGGGCGGGGCGGGGGGTGGTAGAGCGAGCAACCCCGCTTATCACCACCTCCTCATGTAATGCTCATTTAACGCTCATTTAATGCTCATTTAACGCTCATTTAACGCTCATTTAATGCTCATTTAATGCTCTGATGCGGGGTTGGTTCTTGCAAACGCAACTAGAGCTGGTTTGGGGTGGGCTGGGGTGGGGTGGGGGGTGCGGGGTGGGGGGTGGGGTGGGGGGTGGGGCGGGGGGTGGTGGGATGTGGGCATAAGACAACCTCAGTCACTTGAAAACCCCAAAAAATCAGCAACTGCGAATCTCGGCCATGCCTGCAGGGGCGATCTTTCGCAGAGATCGAGGTCTGGCGAAGCTTGCGTATGTTGCATGCATTTCCTAATGGCAGCCGATAGCAGCTTTTTTTGGTTTTGAGGGGGTGAGGCGGTGATGAGAACAAAGGGCACACTTCCAGCTTCTAAGCCCGAGCTAGGTATATGCCAGCTCGTGTAGATTTTCAATGTTCGTCAAAGGTTTAACTGCTGCCTGATGTAGTCTGGGCTTGAAGATTCCAACAAAAGCAGAGGACCAGCACAAGACAAGCACCTTTAGCCCGAATACCTCAAACACCAAACCCGTCTGCAGTCAGGCCATCCTCAAGAAAGGACGTGGCCGAGACGTACCGCCTCTTGGTGGCAGTTGCTGGTGGCTTCCAAGGAGGGATCGGTCTCCAGTGTTTAGGTGCTGGGGTTCAGACATGTACTTCTCGCACCCTTATAGCTCAGTACATCGGTAGGTGAATATGCGGAGCTTGCTTTCGTGTGACACTGCTTGCTCTCACTATTTTCTCTGCCTGTCTTGGTTATTGCCTTTCAGTTGTTGTTGCTAGTAACTAGTACGATGAGGCATGCAACCTGCGGGGACTGAAGATAGCCCTGGAGGCAGCCAGAACGGTGCTTACAGGACTTGGGATGTTGTCATGGTAATGGCGACTTCGATGATGACAGTGACGTTGACAGTGGGCATGGCTCTCAGCAGTATCCAGCTGATACATGCCCGACAGCAAACAGGCAGTGCTTCTAAACCTTTTAGCATCCGTGTATGTGGAGGTAGGCACGTCGCTACAGATACTGCATAATCAGATTGTACGCCACCCAAGACAGAGGTCCACCAGTTACTGCTGGCTTAGCCCAACAAGCTGTGACCCTACAAAATCGTAAGGGTTCACCCATGTAGTGACAGTTGGGTGTCGGACCCATCCTGCCTTCAAGCGAGTATCCAAAATTGAGGCTGATATCGCCTTCGGCGGCTTGAGGAGCAAGAAGCTCCCGTGCAACTCTGACGCCCCGTGCCTGTCTCCCCTGTAGGTAAATGTATGGATACATCTAGGACAGAAGGGTCCTGGCAAGCATTCATTGGGCATCATACCTGCAGTGCGTACGTACTCAGAAGCTAGGGACTCTTCCCGGCAATCTGACGAAGTAGATGGCTGAAGTTGGTAGCCAGGCTCCGGCCAGAGTGTAGCACTTCGCGGACTTAGACCGAAACTAGGACAGATGGCTGAGGCAAAGCCACCGGCAACAGCAGTCGATGTAACAGCAGCGGCCGGAACATGACAGTACCGGTCCCAATTCTCAGCCATAGCAACCACCAGCAACATGGCCATCAACATCCAAGTTCCGTTTCATTGTCCTACAGTGGAGACTGGGGGCCGAATAGTTGGCTCCGACAGCACAAAGTGCTCCTGGAGGCATTCTACGGTGGGGCTGGGGAAGAGCCCCTTTTGAAGTGGGTCTGGGAGCTTCGGGTTCAACCAGTCAGGGTTATCGAGCCCCTTGCGTTGCTGGGATGCATGTTCGAGGAGGCGCAACAAGCTCAAGAATCGGGTTTCAACCCGGCGTTTCTTGAAGTAGAGTGCAGTATTAGGGGTCTTTAGCTAGTCCTCATCTCAAGGATCCCACTGCACAGGGTCTGGATCAGGGCCCTAAGTTTTCTGTCACTCCCAACGAGTAGTCGCTCAGTCAAGCTTGTTCCTTGAAGTTGAAACGCATATGCTGTCTTGGAGGAACCTGCATGAGATCAGTCTTAAATGTGCATTGAGGGCAAGGAATGTTGTTGCAAGTAGGCTTCAGGCCCCGGATGTCCCTCTCATCCATGACTGCTCCAGAGGGGGAGGGCTGCGGCCCTTTTGCATCCGGCCCAACGCGGCTTGCGCGGTGGGCTGTCTTTCCAAATAAAAATATTTAGCCACCTCAGGCAAGAGTTCGACCACCAGTCGTGTCATCAGAGGCTCGCAGCTGTAGCTGTCCTTGAAACCCTGGCCTGCGGCCTTTTTGAGACATCGGTTTCAAGATCCTCGCTAGCCTCGCTAATAGGCCCTAGAATCCTAGAAGCCCTCAACTCACCGAACCTGGTCCGAAGGGCTTTCGAATTCGAGGGCCACAGGAACGGGTATGAATAGCCTGAGACTGGTGTTCGACGGCACAGGCAAGGTCTCACAATTTGAACCTCTCCGGGCGCCTCAGGTGCAGCCTCGAGTCATGCCTGACGGGTTCCCAAAAGGAGAAACTTACAAAAGCAACGGTGATGGTGTTCAGGCAGGTTTAGGGTGATATTCCTGTGTTGTTGCGAGGCTCCGACATGAGACATAATCATATTGGTTTCGACTTCGGCAGGGATCCCTGCAGGTTGCAGCCACATCGGTAGCAGTGCGCCCTCAGTGCGGCGAGAAAAGCCTCCTCTGTGAATCCATGTATACCTCCACGATTGCGAGACAGCGACAGGGTTTCTCCGAAAAAAGCTTCCATCTGCTGTTTGTGTTGGACACAGCTTCTTGCGAGGCTTCCTAAGACCTCTATGGGCGACCCGCTGTGTGTGGTTCTAGCTGGTAGCACAATCAAGAACGATTCTCCATCTGCTTCCCGGGTAGTTTTCTGTTTTTTGTTGTTTTCTGGTCTATTCTTTAGTAATACTAATAATATTACTGGCAATCCTAATAATACTAATAATAATAATAGTAATAGTAATATAACAAGCATAAGTGGAAAGTCAGTTGTTTCTCTGCTCTGGCCTCGGTCCAGTTCAGAGGCTTCCCAGACTGTATAGCCCACACGGTAACTTCGACTGCTAGTTTCGTGCGCACGCCGAGGAGTGCACTTTTTTCAAGCAAGGAAGCTCTGAAGCTAAGAAGCTTTGCTTCTGCATCAATTGGCGCAGGCGGGGCAACTCCCAAGCTCTTCCTGAATGCAGTGCTGAACTCCTGTAGCTACCTGGCGGCTTTCAGAGGATAGGGGACCCTAAAATAGTACCCCAAATAGTAGGATCCTTAGTATAAGGACCCCAAAATAAGGTACCCCCTAATTCCGGGTTCAGGAAGCTTCGAGACTGTGGGATTCTCAGGGAACTACGGTACGTGATGTGAGTCATTTGGGAAGATGACACAGCCCTCAACGGGCAACCTGAGGAGTCTCGAGGATAGTCTTGTTTGTCTTTGCTAGGATGCAAGCAGAGCACGGGCTATCAGACTGTCACGAGCTCCAGATTCTAAAGTCAGTTGTGGGGTTTGTCTCAAAAGGTTTCAGTTTCGAGCGGGCACTTCTACGGCCCCGGCTGCCGCTAAGCTCATCGATTCTGCGGTTCCAGGCCATGCTCATCTACTGCTTGTCCGCGTAATTACTTCTTCAACTTACCCTTCCGTCTACTATGTATAAGGCAGCTCATGACCTAATTGTCTGATCATTTCAATAGCGCTACATTGGGCTCCGCACCGAGTGCTTCGCCACAGCAGGAAAAGACCCTTCGAAGGTGCAGAACTTGTCTCCGACTATCTTTCAATATCCCCACTGCTCACAGCCGATCAAGAGTGGTTTTGGGTTTATTTAGGGCAAATCTTATTTTTCGTCTCACTGTTCAGTTTATCTCTGGCTTGCTTCTCCACATGTCCTACCTGTCCCGTGCACATGCACCCGGGTATGTGTGCTGGATACAGTGACCCCAAGACTGACGCTAGTGGAACATGCAAGGGGTGCATCAACACGGATGGGCCGCTTAGAGTGATGTGAGGTCGATATGGCCCTGCGCTGGCAAATCAATCAGCACCTCCGCCTGCAAATTACCAGAGCTGCATACCTGCGTCGGGGGAGCTTGCATATCACTAAACCGTAATAATACAGTTTAATGGGACGGCAGACCGAGCGTGTTTCTGTGTTTCTGTCAGAAGCAGATTGGTCAGCAATCACGAGTTTTCGAAGGTGGAGACCCTCGCATGCCCATGCCATCCTCGCAGCATTGCATAGTTTGGGGACGTGCGCTGACATAGCTTTGGACAGATAAATGGGAGTTTCCGAAAATTCGGGGCACCTTATTTTGGGGTCCTTATAATAAGGATCCTACTATTTAGGGTACTATATTAGGGTCCCTTATTTTCGGAAACCCCCAAATGGCACCATGGGCTGTTGCTTGTGGTTCGTGGTCTTGGGTCTCCTGGGCTTCTCGCTGCGACTCGTGGGTACTTGGAGGATCATGGGACTTAGTAAGTAAGATTATAAGTACCTTAATTGGGGTTATAAGTATAGTTACCCTACTTATAACCCTAGTTACTAAGTCCCATGATCCTTTAAGTACCTTTCTAGAAGCACGTCTTGCGCGACGAGTTGTCGAGTGGAGCGGCTCATCCGAGGCAATCATCACCATGTACTACGCTACCTGGGTGCATTTCAGGAACGAGTAAAGACTTCGAGACTCAAGAAATGACTCCGACGAATCTGGTGACATGGACGATTGCCGAGGCTCGGCAAGACATCAACATGAGCTGTATGCCTTGCTTGTAAGACGTCCCACACAGTACCCCGGACAGCCCAAAACGGAAATAACCTGACGTGCGCGGAGCCGTGCATAGAGATAGAAGCCGTTGTGTCGCAATCTCTGAACTGAAGGTATGCGCGCAACTCTTTTCAAATCTGCCATGATAACGCTCCAGAGCAGCTAAACGCTACACCCCCACCTGAAGATAAGGATCAGTAAGGGCTTCAAGGATATAGAGCGCCTGGCTTCGACTCCTGGTTCAAAAGTCCAAACCCTACAAGATGCCATTCTCTTGCTGGGCTGGAAATGACCTGCACGGGTCCCTGGAACAGGCTGTCGGGTGGATTCAAGCGTGACACTTCAAGCGAAACCTGAGCAGAATGATTACGAATCTCACTTGATTAGTTCATGCTGTTGCTGCTCCGAAGTCCTTGGAACAGTTCAGGTTTGCCTCCACGGACTCGTTGGGCAATTCCGAAGCAACGACGACGGCTTGAATGCAGTCGGAGCAGGGGGTGTAGCAGGCGCCCGGAAGCACTTGCTCGTATTATTGTCATGTTTATCATTATTAGTGTCATTATTGTTATTACTTGTGTTATTCTTGATAGTACCGTTATTACTTGTAGTACTATTATTGCTGCTATCACTGCTAAGTAAATTATTAATTACCAACAGCTAACAAAGTCGCGATAAATGTTTGCCCGTAGCATGGGCTTCACCTGAGACAGCGGACATATAACATGCACTGCGAAAATGGCACTAGTGGCGGCCAAGGCCGTCGAATAAAGCATATTATTCAGGGGAGCGAGGACATTTGGGTTTTCAGAGGTCTGCCGTCGAGCAGGCAGGGGCTGTTGGCTCAACTGCATGCAGCTCCCACCTCGCTGCGAAGTCTTTGCTGAGCGAGTCTCTTCATATTGGTTGGCTTCTATGGTCATGGAACAGGATTACCGAATTCAAGCGCATGTAGCAGATTTTGGAGTGTTAATTACTTCCCTTCTTCGAGGTTTTGGGACCAGACAGAAGCACACAGCAATCAGCAATATCCAAGGGTGCCTGGTGAGGATCCCACCCTCAAGGTTCTGGACCAGGAATTGCCAAGCTCAAGAGCTTCGTGTTTCCTATTTAGGGTTTAGGGTTTAGGGTTACTAAACCCTGGACGTGCTGTGCTTCTTAGTGTCACTTCCCAACTTGCTGCCCGAACCTCCTATGGCTTGACCGCGAGTGAGTGCCAAATGTTCATCCGAACTGTTATAGATCCCAAGAATCTCATCTGCAGAAGCCCTACGAGAGCACAAACCTTCGAGCAAGCGCCTCTAAAGCCACGCATCGACCCGTTGGACCGTGAATTTAACTCTGAAATATGTTTGGTTGTAGATGACTTAAACTTTGTAAATTGAGTACAAGCTAAGTAATTAACTGATGTCGAGAGGTAGCCCGAGTTGTCAAAGTCAGCAAGGATTCTTCGGGCGTCCTGCTAAGAACAGGTGCATTGTACAAAGTCGCCGGCC